GAACCACACATGCGGAGATCAACCGTTCACCTACTCTGCGTCTCACAATGACAGTGGTTGGAACCAAAAATCTCAAATTTGGACTCATCAGACCAAAGGACAGATTTCCACCGGTCTAATATCCATTGCTCGTGTTTCTAGGCCCAAGCAAGTCTCTTCTTCTTATTGGTGTCCTTTAGTAGTGGTTTCTTTGTAGCAATTCGACCATGAAGGCCTGATTCACGCAGTCTCCTATGAACAGTTGATGTGTTTGTTACTTGAACTCTGTGAAGCATTTATTTGGGCTGCAATTTTTGAGGCTGGTAACTCTGGGTCTTCCTTTCCTGTGGCGGTCCTCATGAGAGCCAGTTTCATCATAGCGCTTGATGGTTTTTGCCACTGTACTTGAAGAAACTTTAAAGGTTCTTGACATTTTCTGGATTGACTGACCTTCATGTCTTAAAGTAATTAAAGTTTATCTTTGCTTATTTGAGCTGTTCTTGCCATACTATGGACTTGTTCTTCTAACAAATAGGGCTATCTTCTGTATACCACCCCTACCTTGTCACAACACAACTGATTGGCTCAAACGCATTAAGAAGGAAAGAAGTTCAACAAATTAACTTTTAACAAGGCACACCTGTTAATTTAAATGCATTCCAGGTGACTACCTCATGAAGCTGGTTGAGAGAATGCCAAGAGTGTGCAATGCTGTCATCAAGGCAAAGGGTGGCTACTTTGAAGAATAATTAAAAAATATATATATATATTTTGATTTGTTTTAATACTTTTTTGGTTACTACATGATTCCATATGTGTTATTTAATCGTTTTGATGTCTTCATTATTATTCTACAATGTAGAAAATATTTTAAAAAATAAAGAAAACCCTTGAATGAGTAGGTGTGTCAACTTTTGACTGGTACTGTACGTGTGGCTTAATTGATCAAATAGAAGTTTCGTACTGCTTTAGTTGTTACTTTTTATGCTCATTCACATTTATAAAACAGATTAGACAGCTAGCACATAAGTCAACTTTTTAGTAGGGTCTGCTCTGTGCAAAAGTTTGGGAGTTGAGACATAAAAAGGGTGTCGTTAGAAAGGTTAACTTCTCTATCACAGTAAAATGTCTCAATGTGTTTCGTTGTCCATATGAACGATTCTGTTGTACCAAACCTCAAATGCAAATAGCCAGTTGAAACTGCTTGTTGTCATAGAGGAAGAAGTAATCTATCATCTTTGTTGTTATGAGTGGCAGGGGGAGGGGCTTGGTGTGTGTGAATTGGAAGGTGCACACAGCACTGGAGTAAAGGAAATAAGACCAAAAAATGAACAAGCAGACATAAATGCTACAAACCCCAGGATAACTTGATTCTTGTAATGCATGCATTTGTAATTTCGCCCTAAAACATACATTCAAATTCAATTGCTATATCGCCCACCCCTAGCCCCTTCTGACTTTGACTGTGGCTCTTGATGGCTGGAAGAGTGTTGTGGATACAGTGTTCTACTCGGTCCATGATAAGGTTGTCTGACAAGTGCAATAAAAAATTACCTGATAATGGCAGTATATAGCTGACCTTTTTTTCTCTTGAAGTGTGGCAACTCCTCACAAGGCTCAGTGTTTGCCTCTGTGAGAGTCATCATAATTAGCCTAACATGTCATGTATGGGGTTTTAAATTAGTTTTGAAGTCTTGGCCAGTCATAAACCGTCTGTTGCATTTTGTCCATCCAATCCTGCTGTATTTATATGATGTAGAGCCAGGCCAAGGTAACTGCCTTTCTTCTAGTTGCTAATTCACTAAATCATTGGGGATTCGCTTAATCACTAATTTGTCAGAGAATGGTGACGGACCACCATCGGCCTTTAGCTGCCCCATGTACACCTTAATAACACATGGGCCAGCCTGGTGACAATGTTTGCAAACCAATTAAATGTGGTGGATGGTGTGACTCGTTTCAATGGGATTAACCATCAGCCTCCTGACCTGTACATCTGAACGGTCAGTCCAGGCCGCTACTACCGTTCTCCTGTCACCATATACGAGGATGTCCATATCATCCATGGACATATCAGAGGGGGAGGAAATCTGAAGCTAGCCAACTGTTGATTCCCAACGGCTTTGCTATTGTGCTTGTCCAACTTTTTATTTTCTATCCTGTGACCAGCAAAGTGGAAAGCCCTTTGTCTGACCCCCCCCCTCCCCATCCCCCACGCCCCTTCTCTAAACTCACTGTTGCCATTGGCCATGTGGCTAACTTTAGAGTAAGCTCTGTCAGGGCTTAGCCGGCCCTAATCCAGGTTTAAAGTGACAAGCAGCACTACCCTATTTATACCCACGTTTCACTCTTTAGGGCCAAGGCCTGTGTTGCTGCCCAAACATGACACTGCTAATCTAGATCTAGTGCCGAGGTCGTACCTGGAAGTCCTCCTCCATTTTCAGAACAAATGGGTGTACCCCTCCCCCACTTCAAGTGATTTTATTAGGGCAGAATATATTTTTGTGAAAGAAATATACTGAACAAAAATATAAACGCAACAATTTCAAAGATTTTACTGAGTTACAGTTCATATAAGGAAATAAGTAAATTGAAATTAATTCATTAGGCCCTAATCTATGGATTTCACATGACTGGGAATACAGACATGCATCTGTTGGTCACAGAAACCTTTAAAAAAAGGTAGGGGCATGGATCAGAAAACCAGTCAGTATCTGGTGTGACCACCAGCGTGACACATCTCCTTTGCATAGAGTTGGGCGGCAGATAGCCTAGTGGTTAGAGCTTTGGGCCAGTAACTGAAAGGTTGCTAGTTCGAATCCCTGAGCCGACAAGGCTCTATGTGCCCTTGAGCAAGGCACTTAACCCTAATTGCTCATGTAAGTCGCTCTAAATGACTAAAATGTAGTTGATTGTGGCCTGTTGAATGTTGTCCCACTCATCTTCAATGGCTGTTGCTGGATATTAGCGGGAACTGGAACACGCTGTCGTACACGTCTATCCAGAGCATCCCAAACGTGCTCGATGAGTGACATGTCTGGTGAGTATGCGGGTCATGGAAGAACTGGGACATTTTCAGCTTCCAGGAATTGTGTACAGATCCTTGCGACATGGGGCTGTGCATTATCATGCTGAAACATGAGGTGATGTCGACGGATGAATGGCATGACAATGGGCCTCAGGATCTCGTCGCGGCATCTCTGTGCATTCAAAATGCCATCGATAAAATGCAATTGTGTTCGTTGTCCGTAGCTTATGCCTGCCCATACCATAACCCCAACGCCACCATGGGGCACTCTGTTCACAATGTTGACATCAGTAAAACGCTCGCCCACGCAACATGGCATGCGGTTGTGAGGCCGGTTGGACGTACTGCCACATTTTCTAAAACTTTTTTTTGTAGGCGGCTTATGGTAGAGAAATTAACATTAAATTCTCTGGCAACAGCTCTGGTAGACATTCCTGCAGTCAGCATGCCAATTGTGCACGCTCCCTCAACTTGAGACATCTGTGGCATTGTGTCGTGACAAAACTGCACATTTTAAAGTGGCCTTTTATTGTCCCCAGCACAAGGTGCACCTGTGTATTGATCATGCTGTTTAATCAGCTTCTTGATATGCCACACCTGTCAGGTGGATGGATTATCTTTGCAAAGGAGAAATGCTCACTAACAGGGATGTCAACAAATGTGTGCATAAAACTTGAGAGAAAGAAGCTTTTTGTGCATATGGAAAATTTCTGTGATCTTTTATTTCAGCTCATGGAACATGGGACCAACACTTTACATGTTGCGTTTGATTTTTGTTCAGTGTAGTTAATTCTTCAGTCTTTCCAAAATGTAGTCTAGCCCATTTCGCAATGTTCTCTAGTTTGTTTGGCATTTGGCAAGGTCAGCAAGCGTCAGTTTGAGCTGTCAGAACTTTGACAAGCGTTCAATCAACCCCGCCATGTGTTTTTGTAAAGAACACTGTCTGCACCCAGCTTGTAAGGCAGAATGTCACTGAAGGGTTTCAGGCTATTTGATTGTTCTGCTCTCTCATGTGTAGCTAGCCCATTAGCTACAGCTATTAAAGTACCAGGTGTGTGCTAGACACATTTATTGTGCTTTATGGTTGACGATAAGAAGGCTTTTCTGTTGATGCTTGTTTGTGTCATTGCCTAGTTCTCCTGTGATGGTTTATGGAGGGCTGGCATTGGGAACTTTTCACCTGCACCTAGGGTAGACAGCAGAACGTGCAGGAAAGGGGGAATTGATTCTGTGACACAAACAACCCTAATTCCATCAAGCGCAGTCTTGCACAAGTCCCCCGTACACCATGAGTCACTGGAATACACTTACTACATGCTCCATTGTATCCTTGCCTGGAGCTTGTCATACAAACATGATTTCTGAATAATACAGTCGTCCTGTTGCATTTGTTTGACTATAGATATGCTATTGCAGTGATCCCTTGCAGCTATAGTGAATGTTTTAGTTTGAGATTGAAGTAGGAGCCTCAGCCAGCTCATCATATTAAACCTGTACTTGACCTGCAGCCTCACATGTCACAAAAGCCTCAAGCTGCCTTGCAAACCAACATACTTAAGAGTAATTCCCTACTCCAGGGCTACAATGGTGCATTAACTACATTAAACAGTTTACCCATTTGTGGCTCCAGTAGTGCTGATCACCTGTGTCTGTGTTGATCATTGAACACTCATATCAGTTGCACTGTGGATTTGCACCTCTGCTTTATGAATTAACACTAACGTTTACACAGCCACAGGGTGGGGTTTTATTTTCCTGGTAGAATGTGTGTGAATGTCATAACTAGTTACTATACTCAACAAACATGTAAGATTCTTGAGATACAGTGAGCAGAGCTAGAGGACAGCCAGGAGCATGCCTCAGGAAGATGCTCAGCGCAGCACTGTGCATGTGTCCCTTGTGACCTGACCACATCTCAGACTAGCCTGCTTAGCTCTGCCGTGTGGTCAGAGGCGGCCTAGCAAAGTTTGCTTGTCAGTTCACAGGCTACACCATGCTACCAGACTGCATGCGGTGCACTTGTAACCAGAGAGCTCTGAAGTTGGCCATCAATCATATGGTTATTTAAATTATGATTTAGACCTACTTTGATTTGAAGGGCAGTGTATTTGATCCTTGTTTGAGTTGTCCACCCCCTTTGAGTACAGTGTGAGATTCACTGCGTGTGCCTCTTTCCGTTGCAGCCTCTCTGTCCTGGTTACATCAGCAGACAGACAGGCGGTGGTGTATTCATACGTGCTTCTGGGGCTGGGTGCACACTGCACACATTTGTTCAGACACATAGCCAGGCCTATACCCTCTGCTGGTGCTGCTCAACACTACCACCATCATCATCCCCAAGCCTTGAGTGCTCAGAAACCAAGACCCCAACCCCCTTACTTCTCATTTAGGTTTCACATGCTCTGTAACCTTGAGTTTCTCACATCAAATAGTTCTCCATCATCTTGGCTTGTGCTGTTTGAGCAGATTCACCTTGGCTCTGCAGTATGCTCAGGGTTGTGCCGTCAGCGGGGTCCTTGATATTGATTGGTTTCCCTGCTCTGGTGTACTGTGTGTTATATCTGTGGCTGTGCTATTTGTGTATGTGTTGTTTCCATGGTCTTGGCCGAGCATATTTGTTCCAATAAGCGCGATGTCAGTCCTCACTCTGTTTGCTCTGTCTTTCTCTCTCATCCAGTTAAGGGCTCTCGACCAGGCAAGAACGTTCAGCTGACAGAGAACGAGATCCGTGGCCTTTGCCTCAAGTCTCGCGAAATCTTCCTCAGCCAGCCAATCCTGCTCGAGCTTGAGGCACCACTCAAGATCTGCGGTGAGTCATATTGGATAAGTTACAATAGCTGAAATTGGTTTCATAGTAATTAATGTTGGTGGAACAAAGCAGCAGCGCCTCTCTGACACAGAACTGATAGTGAACGCTCCAAGGTTTCACAACATGTCTGATTTACTGTAGAATTCTAATCTCTAATTGCCTGTGCTATCTCAGTCCAACGGCCTGTATACACACACACAGGTCTAATGTAGTCAGGGAGGGTGTGGTAGGGACTGACTGTCCACCTCTGTGCTGCCCCCTGCAGGTGATGTCCATGGTCAGTACTATGACCTGCTGCGGCTGTTTGAGTACGGAGGCTTTCCCCCGGAGAGCAACTACCTGTTCCTAGGGGACTATGTGGACCGAGGGAAGCAGTCCCTGGAGACCATCTGCCTGCTTCTGGCCTACAAGGTCAAATACCCCGAGAACTTCTTCCTGCTGCGTGGCAACCACGAGTGCGCCTCCATTAACCGTATCTATGGCTTTTATGATGAGTGTAAGTGCCGAGACGAGAAGCTGGAGCACATGCTTCACAACAGGAGAACGGAACACACACACACAGAGTATTAGCCATTTAGTAATGCCCCATGCTCTTTGTTGCCCTGCTCTTCTTTAGGTAAGAGACGGTATAACATCAAGCTGTGGAAGACGTTCACAGACTGCTTCAACTGTTTACCCGTGGCTGCAATTGTAGATGAGAAGATCTTCTGCTGCCATGGAGGTGGGTGGTGTATGCTTGCAGGGTCTGTCTGAGTGTGTTTTGAGGGATCAGTCCTTCACTGTTGGCCTTTTTTATTTATATATATATATATATATATATATATATATATATATATATATATATATATATATATATATATATATATATACTGCTCAAAAAAATAAAGGGAACACTAAAATAACATCCTAGATCTGAATGAATGAAATAATATTATTAAATACTTTTTTCTTTACATAGTTGAATGTGCTGACAACAAAATCACACAAAATTATCAATGGAAATCAAATTTATCAACCCATGGAGGTCTGGATTTGGAGTCACCCTCAAAATGTAATGTGGAAAACCACACTACAGGCTGATCCAACTTTGATGTAATGTCCTTTAAAACTAGTCAAAATGAGGCTAAGTAGTGTGTGTGGCCTCCACGTGCCTGTATGACCTCCCTACAACGCCTGCGCATGCTCCTGATGAGGTGGCGGATGGTCTCCTGAGGGATCTCCTCCCAGACCTGGACTAAAGCATCCGCCAACTCCTGGACAGTCTGTGGTGCAACGTGGCGTTGGTGGATGGAGCGAGACATGATGTCCCAGATGTGCTCAATTGGATTCAGGTCTGGGGAACGGGCGGGCCAGTCCATAGCATCAATGGCTTCCTCTTGCAGGAACTGCTGACACACTCCAGCCACATGAGGTCTAGCATTGTCTTGCATTAGGAGGAACCCAGGGCCAACCGCACCAGCATATGGTCTCACAAGGGGTCTGAGGATCTCATCTCGGTACCTAATGGCAGTCAGGCTACCTCTGGCGAGCACATGGAGGGCTGTGCGGCCCCCCAAAGAAATGCCACCCCACACCATGACTGACCCACCGCCAAACCGGTCATGCTGCAGGATGTTGCAGGCAGCAGAACGTTCTCCACGGCGTCTCCAGACTCTGTCACATCTGTCTCATGTGCTCAGTGTGAACCTGCTTTCATCTGTGAAGAGCACAGGGCGCCAGTGGCGAATTTGCCAATCTTGGTGTTCTCTGGAAAATGCCAAACATCCTGCACAGTGTTTGGCTGTAAGCAAAACCCCCACCTGTGGACGTCGGGTCCTCATACCACCCTCATGGAGTCTGTTTCTGACCGTTTGAGCAGACACATGCACATTTGTGGCCTGCTGGAGGTCATTTTGCAGGGCTCTGGCAGTGCTCCTCCTGCTCCTCCTTGCACAAAGGCAGAGGTAGCAGTCCTGCTGCTGGGTTGTTGCCCTCCTACGGCCTCCTCCACGTCTCCTGATGTACTGGCATGTCTCCTGGTAGCGCCTCCATGCTCTGGACACTACGCAGACAGACACAGCAAACCTTTCTTGCCACAGATCGCATTGATGTGCCATCCTGGATGAGCTGCACTACCTGAGCCACTTGTGTGGGTTGTAGACTCCGTCTCATGCTACCACTAGAGTGAAAGCACCGCCAGCATTCAAAAGTGACCAAAACATCAGCCAGGAAGCATAGGAACTGAGAAGTGGTCTGTGGTCACCACCTGCAAAACCAGTCCTGTATTGGGGGGTCTTACTAATTGCCTATAATTTCCACCTGTTGTCTATTCCATTTGCACAACAGCATGTGAAATGTATTGTCAATCAGAGTTGCTTCCTAAGTGGACAGTTTGATTTCACAGAAGTGTGATTGACTTGGAGTTACATTGTGTTGTTTAAGTGTTCCCTTATTTTTTTGAGCAGTGTATATATAGTTGAAGTTTACATACACCTTAGCCAAATACATTTAAACTCAGTTTTTCACAATTCATGACATTTAATCCTAGTAAAAATTCCCTGTCTTAGGTCAGTTAGGATAACCACTTTATTTTAAGAATGTGAAATGTCAGAATAATAGTATTGAGAATGATATATTTCAGCTTTTATTTCTTTCATCGTATTCCCAGTGGGTCAGAAGTTTACATACACTCAAAAACATTTCGGGTAGCCTCCTTGCTCGCACACACCTTTTCAGTTCTGCCCACAAATGTTCTATAGGATTGAGGTCAGGGCTTTGTGATGGCCACTCTAATACCTTGACTTTGTTGTCCTTAAGCCATTTTGCCACAACATTGGAAGTATGCTTGGGGTCATTGTCCATTTGGGAAAACCGAATTTGCGACCAAGCTTTAACTTCCTGACTGATGTCTTGAGATGTTGCTTCAATATATCCACCTAATTTTCCTTCCTCATGATGACATCTATTTTGTGAAGTGCACCAGTCCCTCCTGCAGAAAAGCACCCCCACAGCATGATGCTGCCACCCCTGTGCTTCACGTTTGGGATGGTGTTCTTCGGCTTGCAAGGCACCCCCTTTTTCCTCCAAACATAACGATGGTCATTATGGCCAAACAATTCTATTTTTGTTTCTTCAGACCAGAGGACATTTCTCCAAAATGTACGATCTTTGTCCCCATTTGCAGTTGCAAACCGTAGTCTGGCTTTTTTTATGGCGGTTTTGGAGCAGTGGCTTCTTCCTTGCTGAGCGGCCTTTCAGGTTATGTCGATATAGGACTTGTTTTACTGTGGATATAGATACTTTTGTACCTGTTTCCTCCAGCATCTTCACAAGGTCCTTTGCTGTTGTTCTGGGATTGATTTGCACTTTTCGCACCAAAGTACGTTCATCTCTAGGAGACAGAACGCATCTCCTTCCTGAGCGGTATGACTGCTGCGTGGTCCCATGGTGTTTATACTTGCGTACTATTGTTTGTACAGATGAACGTGGTACCTTCAGGCATTTGGAAATTGCTCCCAAGGATGAACCAGACTTGTGGAGGTCTACAATTCTTTTTCTGAGGTCTTGGCTGATTTCTTTTGATTTTCCAAGGGTGTCAAGCAAAGAGGCACTGAGTTTGAAGGTAGGCCTTGAAATACCTCCACAGGTACACCTCCAATTGACTCAAATGATGTCAATTAGCCTATCAGAAGCTTCTAAAGCTTTCTGGAATTTTCCAAGCTGTTCAAAGGCACAGTCAACTTAGTGTATGTACACTTCTGACCCAGTGGAATTGTGATACAGTGAATTATAAGTGAAATAATCTGTCTGTAAACAATTGTTGGAAAAATTACTTGTGTCATGCACAAAGTATATGTCCTAACCGACTCGCCAAAACTATAGTTTGTTAACAAGAAATTTGTGGAGTGGTTGAAAAACAAGTTTTAATGACTCCATCCTAAGTGTATGTAAACTTCCGACTTCAACTGTGTGTGTGTGTATATGTATATATATATATGTATTTGTATTATCTATATATATATTTTTTTTTTTTTGGGTAGATCAGCTTTAATATTGCAGCTAGATTGTAACTTCCATCAATGTAATTGTCTGCATCACTTCCAATCCCTGTTGGTCTTTTCCTTGTGGGTCTTATCAATAAGCATTTGGTTGCCCCATGATCATTTGGATTAACCACTCCCTTAAGTGTTTGTGGTGGGAGATGACTCAAGTGCATACAATATACAATTGATAAGAGGTGGTAGTTATCAAGGTGTGATTTCAGATATTATTGTTCTTGGTGGTAGGCGTCATCAGAAAACTGTATCATGGCAGTCATTATTCATGTATGTGGTGATGGTAATGTTTCTGTGTGCTGTGTTTTGTGTTCTGTCCAGGCCTCTCTCCAGACCTCCAGTCCATGGAGCAGGTGCGCAGAGTGATGCGACCCACAGATGTGCCTGACCAGGGCCTGCTGTGTGACCTGCTGTGGGCCGACCCAGACAAAGATGTCCTGGGCTGGGGCGAGAACGACCGTGGGGTCTCCTTCACATTCGGGGCAGACGTGGTGGCCAAATTTTTGCACAAACATGACATGGACCTTATATGCAGGGCACATCAGGTAATGGCTTAGCTCAGTGGTTTAGAGTTTTGGATGGGGGTTAGGGGCTGGCGAGAGGGTATTTTGCGGGACACGGTCAGACCAATGGTGGTTTGGAGAGAATAGAGGGATCTTGTTATTAATCAGGCAAATCAGATAATCAAAGGTCATTGCACCTACATAAAATATTGAAGCACTTTTTTAAAGCTGGAATCCTTAATTGGTGAAACTGCCACGTATGTTTGGGATATTACAACAACAAAGAAGTTACTGTAAATAACGAACACTGTTTTTTCCCCTCTGACATCATTGCACACGCAATAGAACATCAGAATATATACTGCAAATTTTTTGGACCACGCTGCCGACGATTACTCCTCCGTTTGAACAACATAAACAATAACAAAGGTGCTGGGGTGAACAGTGGCTCTATTTCCCCTATTGCGGATTCCATCTTTAAAGCATGTAATTTTGTGTATTTTTACTGGCATTGGAGGTTGAGGTGTTGATTAGGATGTTAACTCCTCTGTTTGAAATGATTGCTCTGCAGTTGTTAGGTGTCCGCTCCTGGTATTTTTCCTGTTTCTTTTTTATTGCATTGTTCTTACCTCTTTCATTCCTGTCCTCAGGTGGTAGAAGACGGTTACGAGTTCTTTGCAAAGAGACAGCTTGTTACTCTGTTCTCTGCCCCTAACTACTGTGGAGAGTTTGATAATGCCGGTGCCATGATGAGTGTGGATGAGACCCTCATGTGCTCCTTTCAGGTGTGTACTCCTCTGCTTTTCTCTCTGCGTCTTTCCTTTCTCCTTCAGTCTGGCTGTTCCTGTCCGTCAGTCTTGATTTTTAAGGTCTGCCGGTCCCCTGTCTTACCTGTTATGTGCTGCAGTGTTCAGTCTGTAGGAGTATGTATATTTATAGCTGTCTAAAGAAAGCCTCTCTGTTCCTCAGATTCTCAAGCCAGCGGATAAGAAGCTCTACTCTTACGGTGGAGGTGGAGGAATGGGATCTGGACGCCCGGTCACCCCGCCACGAAATTCCGCTAAGGGCGGAAAGGCCAAGAAATAACACCCACTGGACCCCCCTCCCTGAACCAAGCACCCCTGTCGCCCCCCCACACTCTTTCTCTACCTCCCTACTTCTATCTCTCTCATCACCAAACGGCAACAAAGCAGACAGTACAGTACCTAGGGTTCGGTCCTCTTTTTCTCTGATACTGTTTTTAACTGTTTGAGTGTATGTATGTCTGTGCGTGTGTCTGAAAGAGAGGTTTGTTGTATTCTGTTTGTATGTCCTCCCTTTCCCCTACTCTGTTCTCCTGTCACTTTGTAGATGAAATTGGTCCTTCCTTTCAGTGATGGAAATGCAGACCTGGGGGAGAGGGAGGAGAGATGGGGATAGGGAGGGGGAGAGGAAAGGAGCCTTTACTGTTGGTTAGGGCCCTGCACTGTTTTGATGCTAAACACAAGCTTTTGTACATCCTGTTTGAGAGGTTTGTGTGTGTATGTGTATGGAATGGGGTCAATCTGCATGGTCAGATGGTAACAACGGCACACACCACACACTGAGAGCACAGGTGGATATGTGCAGATTGGACCCTTTAGTTTATGGATTCACAAAGATCAAGAAGCGGACACGTTTTTTTTCTTCTTCCCAAAAACCAATGATTTGAAAACGCAATCATGGATGTGAAATAGCTTTCTTTTCTTTTTTTTCTTTTTTGTAGATGCATAAAAAAAGGTTTGAATCTTTTGAGTTTTAGTTTATTTGGACGCCGATGATTAATAAAGAACCATTTATTTAAAATATTCCATCACACTATGTTCACTATGTTCGCCTCACCATTGCTTTGTAATTTGTTTATATATTAAATTCCTCTACCCCATATGTCGAACTCATTCCACAATGGGCTGAGTTTCCGCGGGTTTTCGCTCCACCCTTGTACTTGGTTGATGAATTAAGGTCACTAATTAGTAAGGAACTTAATTGAAAGGAAAAACCAAAAACCCGCAGACACTCGGCCCTCCATGGAATGAGTTTGACACCCCTGCTCTACCCCCTTTGTCATTCCCACTTGCTCCTCTCGTCTGAATGGTATCGAAAGCTATGTTTGTTCAGGGTGGGATGTTGGGATTAGTTGCTGGCTCCATGAAATACCCATTTCCTGTGCAGCATTTTGGGGTCTTTTGCTTAGCCATTTTCTATCACCCCCTATCCTTTAAATTAAATGTCTGTTCTCCTTGCCCCTATCCTTTAAACACTGTCAATGTTCATCTCTCTGGTTCTCATTCCCCCACAATCTTCCATATTCTGTCTCCCATTTTGCTCAGTAGTTTCTCTCTGGGTTCTGAGTAGTCAAAGAATGTCATTCCTCAATTCTCACCCCACTTTGCCTCTGCCCCCCTGTTTTTCTCTTCTTTTTCTCTTTTATATTTAAAGATGATGTGTAACAACTTGCCAGACAGCATTAATGGTCATTTCCTGTGCTGGGTTCCTTCTCACCTTTTAGTAGCTAGCTCATATCGGCTTCTAGTGCGCTCTCCTCTCCACTAGGTGGCGCATTTCATACAACTGACTCACCATTGCGTCATCTCACTGAAGACTGGGATTCAGGAGTACTGTACATTCAATGCGCCCCATGCAGTGCTGGGTGCATTCATGGTGCATGGGCGGCAGTATGTTTTTTAAAGAGCACATAGCTCAAGGTTTTTGGCTTTGCAGTTTATAAAGAAAATTGATCATATTGTGAGACCAAGGAGTGTTGGTTTTAATTACGTTATGATCCATTGACAGAGGAAGTCTTATTTGCTGTTAGATAAAGATATTGAATGCTTGATATACAATATATTACATGGAAAGGTAATAATACGCTTGTTTTTAAAAGAGCTGTAATATTAGAGAAGAAACATTTTGGGTTGGAAAACTTTTTTTTTCTCCAATGTGTTGGAATTGTCGTCAATGGCTTTCAGACCAATATTAAATTACTTGTTTTATGACAAGGCTTTAAGATAATGATTCAGAGCTGTAATGTAGACCATCTGAAATGTTAAAAAAATATATGCATTTTGGAGGCAAGCTTTGCTTACATGCTTTAGACAGTACAGTAGAGCAATTAAAAGATAAAACAATGCATCAACTTTAAGATAAATTGTTTTGGGGATCATTGCAGGTCTTAATATTACTGTCCTGAATGATACCAATTTCACCCGACCCCACTCTGTTCATAGCGGGGTAAACGTTCTGCTTGCAATGTTGGTCAGATCATTAATTTGGTAAAATCGTTATTTTTATTAAGACATCCCCACCAACAATCTACTGTAACTATCTACATCAATCTTATTTATTTTGACATATTTTATTTTAAGAACTAGGGCAATATAGATATGTAAAATGTTTTTATTTTATTTTAACCAATCAGGGACGTTTTTCCTTCATGCACTGTCGCTGGGTAGAATACAAGGCCACGTTCAGTTTCCAAACGTTGTCGAACGTTGCGGATAGAAATGCCATGAATAGAGCTGATGTGAGTTCTTATTCTACAGTATGAAAAATTTATGCACTCACTAACTGGAAGTCGCTCTGGATAAGAGCGTCTGCTAAATGACTAAAATGTAAATGTCAGAGGCATGTTTGTACTACATAGCCTATTTCTATCTGAACGTATCAAAACTTTAAGTCATGCTGAACGCGCCCCAGGCTTTTAAGCTAAAATATAAATGAATGAATCAAAAACGTTAAATAAGAAATAAAAATAATGCTTTTTTATTTTTATGTAATTTGTTTTCCAACCAATCACAAATATTGTCTCTGTTACCGGGTAGAAAATAAAAAAGAGTGAATTTGTACTTTTTGTCTGTTTTTGTCTTAAAGGTACAATATGGAAGTTTGGCTCGAGTGTTGGCTGTATGGTTTGTATGCACAATGCACAATCCTTTGTTTTGGGCTAACAAACTTGCAATATAAACTTTTGCTCATGGGTGTGGGGAGGTGGGTCCCCCTTCTGTCTAAAGAAGTAATTTCTGGACAATATTCCTGTCCATAATAGTGGACCATTTTTGTCTCGAGCAACGGCAAATATTCCATAATGTAACTTTAAATGAGCCATGGTTTGTGTATAATGTAAGATACAGTGACGCTATAGGCCACTATTGTTGAATTACCCATATAGTGGTACATACATACTACATACTGTATGTTTGAGATTACATTTTAAATGGGCGCCATCTAGTGTACACAATATATGCAGTTCATCTATAGAAAATCATTTTTAGGAAAATGTTATTATAGGGAGAAATAGGCAGAGCAGGAATGCGCGTTTCTGTTTTGCACATGGCCCTCTCAATTCGGATGATATAAAACAGCTGTACCGAATCTCAAATAAATAGCAGACAAAGCGCCACTGGAACGGTGTTAGGTCAGCATTGTTGAATTGTTTGGGATAAGAGCTCATTCAAACTGAAAATGGATCCTTGTGATTGCTCAAAAAGTAAGTTTGCCAAATGGAATTGATCTGTAAATTCCGAATTGACCTAAACTGGTACAGTGGATTTTATATAGATTTGCATGGCAGGTGAAGCGTATCAATTTTCTAGTTGAAGTGTTTTGTTTGTAGCTGGAAGCTGCAGTTGCGGTGGACCCTGCAAGTGCACAAACTGTGGATGTACAACGAAAAGTAAGTGCATGGGTTAATCTCCATGAAGCGCAATCCGTAGTTGAAACAATAACAAAGCGACGCTAAAGGATGGAGCTGGAGAAATGTACACTTGGGATCTAAGGACTGACTATTATCGTTTTAACCATGTTTTGAGTATTTGGTGTTTGTTTACATTCACTTTTTCCCCCCAATATTTGTAAGCAATCATATTTTGTGTTCTGATGGGACAGGCCTACGGCCGTTTAACTCCATTCATGAGGCATTTTATATTGTTCAAGAATCAACGGGTACATGGCGTTAATTGTGGAGTCAAATTACCTGTAACAAGTGCAGGTTGCCCCACTAAACTTTACAATTTAGTTATGAATAATTGGGAGTCACGTCAAGACAACATCCCTAGCCAATGAGGGGATTCGAAAAATATGGGCCGGGTAGGCGTGTCTTGTACCGGGTGAAAGATTATTGCATTCGTTTAGGAACCGGGCTGCCTCCTGGGCGTGAGTCAAGTCCCGCGAAAGCCCACGGCGAAGTCTGCTCTAAGTGGCGTAATGAGTAGGATTGCTTTCACTTGCAAAAGTAATTGCTCTTGATAACGCTTTATCTGTCTTCCCTATGTAAACTAGCTTAAATTCAAACCTATGGGAAAGATGTTTGGGGGAAACCCAGCTTTAAAGGAATCCTTCACCCAAATTAGTTGCGGATCTTTCCTTACGTTGTAAGCGTTTAGTGCAATGTCCAAATAATGCTTTTTAAAATGGAATATCCACTGTCAAACTCCAGATGCGTGCATCTAACATTCAGCTGTACTTTTAGTCCAGATAAATTGCTTTCAGGCCTGTACTATAGCAGCCACAGGTCTTGTTGGAAAACCACTCATGGTCATTAATCAGTACTAATCTCTTCTATCATTCCTCCAGGTTGTTGTTCCTGCTGCCCGACTGGATGCAGCAAGTGCGCCTCTGGTTGTGTGTGCAAGGAGGGCAAGACGTGCGATACAAGCTGCTGTCAGTGAGGGCTGACTCATGACACTATGTCCTCTTCCCATGCACATTAAATTGTCCCTGTTGTACGACCCAGAGCATTACATTTGTGGTAATAAATTGCAGCTCCAACTTTGGATGTTGTCTTCAATCATGTGAAACTGATGCCTCCTTGCTTTTTAGTGAGCACTAATGTGAACTCCAGTGATATTTCCTTGGAAAGTGAAATGTCTGGCTAAGTAGAAATGTGCTCTGATTGTAGTGGGTACCACCTGGGGCCAAAATCTGGCCCTTGCTGGTATAGGGGGACCTTGCATATGGCATGTCTTCCAGATTCCTTATTCAGTGGTGCCGTATATCTAATATTGCTCATAGGACATGAGTGGGGGGTATCCACTGTCCTTGAGCAATCCTCAGTGATTCCCGTTTCTTTCTGGCATCTACAATCTAAAGACCTAGTCCTACACGTTTGCTAAGTGTTATATTGCCTCACACTGGCTGCGTTTAGACATGCAGCCCAATTCTGATCTTTTTTCACTAATTGGTCTTTTGACCGTTCAGCTCTGAAAAATGTGATTGGTCAAAAGACCCATAGTAGTGGATTCATTTTACCTATACGTTCTTTTAGTCCAGGAATATAGGCTTAATCAAGGTCTGGAAAACTGGCCCCAAAACGTCAGTGTGAGTTGAAATGGGCTCGATCTACAATGACCTGTACCTCCAAAGCCTGGGTAGTTGAAACAAGTGCACACTGTGATACATTATTCCCTCTGTGTCCCCGTGCAAGACACCCAGTGTGTATGTGTGTGTGTGTGAGGGCACACTTCCACAAGACCCCGTAGGACCACTGGCATGATCCCACTGCTTACACCAGTGTTGTAGGAGAGGGCTGTTTTTTTTAGAGGGTTATCAATTAATTTCGCAACGTGTAAAAGTCATGTTAAACTGAAATTATAAATAACGTCTGTCCATTCAAGCAACTGAAACCCAACCTACTACGACCAGGCACAACCAACCGTATTACTAGAACTAAAGTCCATCCTATCCCTATTGACAAATGGCCTGTGAGAGATTTCGTAACTGGCGTAAAATTGACCTTGGCACTAGCCAATGAAAAACAACGGATATGTCCCTAGTTTGGTTTCACTGCAGCAGTGTTACTCGCATACCTCAGTTGGTGCTCGACCAACTTCTGATACGAGAATAACAAAAAACATAACAAACAATCAATTCCTTCCCTCAGGTCAGTCGTTTTGCTGTGGAAACTAGCTGGTTAGCTAATTTGATAACATCTACATTTGCAACGTTGAATCAAACACCAAGAAATTGTGCTGTGTTTTGGCGGATCAGCTAGCTACGTAACGTTAGCTAGCTGACTCGACATCTGACATAGCGAGCTAGCTGCTAGCTAGCAACCACTACGGATACAATCTAGCTAGCGGCTTTCGTTATCAAATACTCCCAGGTAATGTTATGCTAAGAGCTGCAGTGTAACTTATATAAATCAATCTAGCTAGCTATATTTCTCATGTTTGCTTATGCCAGAGTCCGACGGTAACTAGCTAGACTTTCAGTTAAACGCTATGTCCTGCGGTAGCTAGCTGCTAGCTATGATGCTAATTTAGACATCAAAACCAGAAGGCTATCTAGTTAACGTTAGCTGGTTAGTTTGCTAGTTTCTAACCTAAGCTAGTTCTAGCTAAAACATCAATAAGGTTATCATCGAAGCGGTACATAAAGGCTAACGTTAGCTTGTATGGGGTTACGAGGTCAACTTGACTCAGTTGTGGGTGGTTGTCAGTCGCATCGCCCTGTCCCTTGACCCCGAGCCCTGTCCTTTCAGCATGCTGATGGTGGGAGGCGATGGACGGATGCAGTAAAATGAGTGTGATGGAGCTGTGTGAGACGGATGATCTGGCCACCAGCTTGGTGCTGGACCCCTTGCTGGGGTTTCAGCACCCATAAAATGAACGTCAGGTAATCTCTTTAAACCTCCTATCCATTACAGTACATTTGACAAAGGTGTGTGAAATGACAAACTTTTAAATGTATGCATTGCACCATTTGTCTTATGCTTGGTCTTGATGGGTCCTCTCTGCATATAGTAATTAGTCTTCATCAGGAAGTTAAGGCACAACTTCAGTGTTCTTCAAAGAGAAGTGGAAATGTTTCTTCACAATTACAAAAAACAGTACACACCTAACTCTTGTCGCCCTGCAGCCCCCCCCCAGAGGTCCGTCGTTGGGGCTACCTCAAAGAGACTCTGCTACGCTTCCAACGCACACATGACTTGCAGGCCACCTTTGAGGCACTCACAGTGGGAGACTGGGCCTGTGACTACTTCACTGGACTGGGCACCCACCGCCTGGAACTACTGAAACAGCATGTAAGTGTGTGTTTGCAGGATCAGTTAATCCTGTTATATCAGTGTGCACTAAAGTACGTTTTTGATTGCCCCTTCCTTTCCTCAGTCAGTGTAATTTATTTCATTTGTTTGTGTACTTTTGATGGCCTCTGTCATTTTTTTCTAAGAATTTGTTCGGGTAGTTAGCTAATATAACCTATTTTCACTCTGTGGGTATTCATGATTGTGTTCATGAACATGCATGGCTGTATGCGTGGTCTTGACAGCTATTATTTCTTCAGGTGTATCGCTATCTCTGTGCCTTCCTGTTGGATAGCGGTGTCCAGATTGAGTCATGTGACCGATACTCTTCAGAAACCAACGGAGCAAAGATAACCTCTACCAAGCACTGGTAAGGACCAACTATCTTTTAACAGTTGCATTCAATAGTCATGTGTAATTCTGCAGATTAGATACATCTTGTCTGTGTTTTTATATATAATGTTTAACTGTAATGCCGAATGCTGCAGGTTTGTAGGTGAGCGGATGGAGGTTCTGCTGGGTTGTATAGCCGAGCTGAGTCCAGCAGACAGTGCTGTTCTGAGAGCAGGGGTGAATGACTTTAGTGTGATGTACTCCACTCGTAAGCGCTGTGCACAACTCTGGCTTGGGCCTGCTGCTTTCATCAACCACGGTGAGTTTTTCAAGATTCAACCCCAACTACAGTCTGCCACATTGTACATGCACTGTAAACACACTATAACAGAAACCCACTGTGCATACACTATCACAGAAACCCACTGTGCATACACTCACAGAATACACAGACAGAGCATCTGCTTCTGGGATTTCTCTTAATTAAGCATTCCTGACAAGTCATACATTATATCTAGAGTGATCAAATCAAATGCACTAATCTAATCCTGTTATCGAATGTGCTCTCCTACTGCAGAGCTTCACAGGATTTGCTAGTGGTCAATACTTTTATTATACCGACACATGGCATAGTTTTCAGTGTTTAAGTTGTTATATCTGTATTGTAACCATACGTTTGTTTCTGTTCCTTGGGTGAAGACTGCAGACCAAACTGTAAGGTAATCATCAATGTTATGTTATTAGTCATGTTACTCTTCTATGTTTTAATCTCTCTCTGTGTGTGTGTGTGTTCCCGTGAAGCATTGTTCCCTTTTTATAGAAGTGTTGTTATACATGATTATTGTTATTGGCCTCTTCATCTGTGTCTTTTGTTTGTACTATTATGTTTTTAATTGTTGGAAGTGTTACATCCCCAGGGCTAGTGATGTCAACTTGTTTCTTCCCTCACCTCCCCCCTCTCCAGTTTGTTCCTGGCGATAAGAATGGAGGCTGTGTAAAAGTGGTGAGGCCCATCGCACCTGGGGAGGAGATCACCTGTTACTATGGCGACAGCTTTTTTGGGGAAGACAATGAAATGTGTGAATGCTGCACCTGTGAGAGGTGAGAGGATTGAGACATATCTTCTCATTGTCTCAATGACCAGCCTAACTTATTTATATATAGATAGATATGACTTGTATACTATTTCTTTATTATTTAGGAAGGGAGAGGGTCACTTCCGACACAGAGAGAGGCAGCCTGGTTGTGATGACTTAAATGACCTGTCTGGCCAGAAGTACCGCCTCAGAGACACAGACCTTCGTCTTAACAGAGGGAAAGCACCCTGTCCTCCTACATTTCGGCCTACATTTACATTTTCAAATTCAGGTAAGTTTGTGTTTGTCTCTCTCTCGTTTCAAACGTTAAGCTAATGATGTTCATGTCTTTTAACAATGGCTGAAATTCTCAAATTCTGTGAAGATACAAGTGGTACTACGCATTGGTGATTGAGCAATATACTGTCTTTATAGTATTTTTGCTAAATGTATTGCAGATATAGCAGTTAGTGACAGCATGCAACTAGAATGTAATGTTAGGTGCAGTATGCATTTATTTGTTATGCTATTGTTTTTGCCAGAATTTCTTAGTTCTTTTGTCTTCCTGTCTTAGCTATCCCTTCAAGGAATTCATTTACCCAGCAGATGAAGAGAAATGCTCTGATGATGAGCAGGAAGACCAAAAGGTTGAAACAGGAGGGGCAAAGGAGGATATCGGGAATGAAGCCGCAACGGCTGATAATGCCATCCCTATCAGAGGTGGTGTTGAGGAACCTTAGGGTCCGAGTACGGCGCCACACGTTCAACTTCTTGTTGAGCTGCAAGGACCCCACCAGTAAAGAGAGGGCCTTGCTGCACCAGCTTGAACATGTGGAGGCAAAAGACAAGTGGAGGAAGGAACAATCTTCTCTCTGCTGTACAACCAAAGAGAATGACAAAAGAGAGAAGAGCAGCAATATTTGTGAGTTAAACCTGAAGCCTTTCACTCTTCACTCTTCCTTGTCTTCTCAACAGAAAGCTGGACCAGCAGTTTGTGGACAGATACTGGGTGGCAAGCCCCTTCGAGTGGTGGAAAAAGTATCTGTCCAGACAAGGATCTCTTCCAGAACAAGGAGCATGATCAGAAACTGTCACACACGCCAGTCTGTTTCCAGAGCCAAGAAGAACAACAAAATCATTAGCAAGCGCACTGAACTCACCAAACCCATTTACAGAAAAAGCAACAGCGCAAGTCCTCAGAAACACATGGATAGCTGTAGTGGAAAAGATGCCACGCACAATATTATCAAAGATATTCATGGAACCAATTGCATAACCATCGAAGATAACACCAGAGGCAACAACAAGGATGTGGCATACATCAGCAACAGAACATACACTGGAGGAGGCGGGCCCAAAGGCAGCAAGGCTCAGGGTGCAGATCAGAAACCAGTGGATGTGAAAGTGGAAATCAAAACCATTGGAGAATCGGGGACTGATAGGACACTTGTGGCGAGCAAACCCACTGGTAAAAGGGTTGAAGTTTGCCAAAGTGCTTTGGATAAAGCCAAGAAGCCTGAGAATCACAAGAAACCCATTAGTACTCCCATTGTCACTACCACCCCTAGCACCATTTCTCTCTCTTCCCCCTCACTTGGCCATGTTCCAGTAATGTCAGGACTGAAGCAAGTCACAGTTAGCTTGATAAGAGTGTCTGTGCCGGGAAGTGTAGCAGAAGAAAGGGCCTGTCCAGGATTGGAGGGAAAGGGCGTTGTGAGAAGAGAGAGAAGCATACCAGTGCAAGCAGAACAGTTGGCTAGATCAGCTACACAGGGAGGAGAGGCAGAAACCAGAGTGTCCAGGTCCCAGCAAAAGTCCATGGAGGAAGCAGGCAGAGAGTTGTCAGAAGCTGAAGGTAAGAAAGGGGTGAGGGAAATGTATTTCAAGGCTAAGGTTAACAAAATTGATGTAGGGAGGGGACAGACTTCTGTGGTGAAGGTCGATTTACTACATGGTGAGAAAGGGGGAGGTGATAAGGTCATTGAAATAGAAGCTGCTTGTGGGATGGAACAGGTTAGTGTGGCTGGGAAGGGGCATAGGGGGAGTGTAAAAGACATTGACAGAGGGGCAAAACTAAATAGGGAAAGTGTACAATCTCTAGTTGTTGGCTGTGATAAGAGGGTGCTTAGAGGGCGAAATGATGCAGATGAACAGAGTAATGGAAAAGTAGGAGGAGGAGGACAAAATAGCAAAAGTTGTGACAGCATAATCAGAAAGGATGGAGGTAAGAATGAGAGGGTGTCTGAAATGGTAAAGGGGAGTAGTATTCCCATAACTATGGACAAGAAGGGGATTGTCATCAAACAGGTGAGGGTTCTACTTTCTGATATTCTAAGAAAAGAGCGGGATCAGAAGGCTGGGAGCTCAGAAAGTGGGAACACAGGAAAGAAAGATCTAATTTCCTCCAAGCAAATGGAAGATGGCAGAGAGGCAAATAATGTTGGAGGGAAAGGGGTGAGGGACAAATATTATCTGATGCACAGATAAATAGTTTGCCTCACGCAAAAACACAAAGTGGGATCATTTCCAAACGGGGGAAAGGAAGGGCTAGTAAGATGAAACTTGAGGATCCAGGCCAAGGCTTGCATGTTCACTCGCCACAAAGTAATGATGATTTAGTCCCAGTGAAAGATAGGCTTTCCAAGTCTCCCCCTCCCTCTTCAGAATATCTTCAGGCACACACCCAGGCCAACATTCCTCTGAAGAAACGGATGTTCCGTAATTCAGTGGAGACTGACTCTGAGCAGAGCATCAACTCTCCTGTGTCAGAGCCCTCCTCCAAGGACCTCAGACCCTCCACAGAGCTGAGGCAGAATCTTACTCTGTGTTCAGGAAGAGAAACCAAAGCTATCAAAGTGTTGAAGGAGGACAGCGGTAGAGGTGGGTTGCGGTCGAATAGTGACCCTAAGTCTACTGTTTCAGAGCTTGGGGTCCAATTTCGGACACAGGCCTTCAAGAGGACAGCAAAACAAAATGCAACGCCCAGAATGCTGCGTCCCAGAGTCAATCAACTGGAAAAAGACCGGCCACGGAGGAGTGCAGGAAAGTATAAAAGAGGGACCCAAGACGCAGAGGTACTGGAGAATGAATCTGATGAGGACAAACACAATGCAGGGCATGATGAAATCTCACCGGATTCTAGAAAAGAACATGTAAATGAAGGAGAGAAGAAGCCAGAATTACATACTGAGTTAGTGAATTCACTCACCTCGCCAACATGTAAGGAAGAGAACGGGAAAGGGCAGAGCCTCAACTTCAAAATTCGTTTTAAGAGAAAAAGGGGCAAAGTGTGGGAGTTGGACAAACCTGCAGGAGGAGAGGATTTGATTATTGAAGCAGAAAAGTCTATTGATTCACAACAATTGGAGCCTTATAGGGCCATTTTAGATTCTGTGTCAATCTTGAACTTAGAAATGGAGAAGGGTGCCCAGGTAGATGGGAAAGAGACTCATGACGTACGATTTTGGAAGAGACGTAAAGTTAGACGAGACAGATTGGGGAGTTTGAAAGCTAGAGGTCCCATTTTGGATAGGCAGGGTGAGATTGTAGCTGTAGACTCGAAAGAGAGAAAAAAAGAACGGGGGAGAGCTCAGCGAGGTAGAGCGAAATGAGGTGGTAGACAAGGTTATTTATGGAGTAAAGCAACTGCCAGGAGAAAAGGACCATACAATTTCTAGTGAGGGTATATCTGTCGGAGGGGAGGGACTGCAATGTGACTATCAAGTGACACCAAGCCCTGTTAGAATCTGTGAAAAAGAAAAAGATATTCCGTCCTTGGATGGAGACGGAGAACAAGTGAAGGATACTTCTATTAGAGTGGAGAGTAGTTTGGTTGACAGTGGGGCACGGCATGAACACAAAGTAAAGGAAGAAGACCAACCCTTGCCACGGATCAAACTGCGGAGAAAAATACAGGGTGTATGGGAGGTGGACAGCCAGGAGTTGGAGCAGAGTGAAGCAGAGTCTGAAAAAGAGAAGAAGGAAATTACATGCGTTAAGCCAAAAGAAGAGTGCCCTTCTCAGCCTTCCGCCTGCCAGAAACTCAACAGTGCAACCAAGAAAACAGAACCTCCCCCCCTCACTTTATCTCTCTCACCCTTGACCCTTAACTCACCCCAACCTTTGGGTTCTGATGTGATGGCCTATGCTCCTGAAACAATGAATGATAGGGCCATGCCAAAAATCAGTAATAGAGGAGGAAGGGGAAGAGGAAGGAAGGAAAGGCAAAAAACAGAGACTGCTCGTAAGAGTGCAACTGGAGAGATGGGAACTTCTTGTCTTAGTCATAACCTGCTACAGATAGACAACAGTCTTTCTAGACTTTCCGAAGGGTTATGTCAGTCACAATCCTTAGAAAAAAACATACCTTCTGATTACACTGCTTCCACCTCAAAGATTCCGTCCCAGTCTCAGTCTCCACCGTTCAGTTTTCCAGAAAGGATGCTTTCCACAGAATCCAGCTTTGCTAATTGCTGTGAAGATCTCCTCGACTTCCAGTGTCTCAATCTTGAAGGGTTCTATCATCCACAGAACATCCTCCAAACCTCTCCAATAGACCTCTGTCCAATGGATCCACCCAGCGGGCCCTTTAGTAGTCCCCTCTCTCATAGCCCCTCGGATGCTTGGAACCCAGAAACTCCATACCTTGGCCCTCCAAGCCCAGGAAGTATCTTCAATGCAGAGGATCAGCAATTTCTTAATGGTCTTGTGTGCTCCAAAAATGAGTCTCTCCCTTTGGATTGTGGAGTTAAGGATACTTCCAAAGACAGAGGGCAGCTCAATGCAAATTTTAGTTTTACACCCCTGAGCAGCGCTGAGGGGACTTTCATGGATCGTTTTTTGATGAAGAATCCTGGTATGAAACTGTCAAAAGAAGATTCTAAGACACAGCCCTTATCTTCAGCAGCCAAAACCCAGTACTCTCACAAAGAATCATTCATGTTTAATACAAATACTCCATCCATCGGTTCCCATTCCCAGAATAACCCCAGTCAATGTTCTCAATCAGAGTACCAATGGTACTAAAGCTAGTTTTACCCATTCCAATTTTTCTAAGGTCCAGCCTCAAGTCAAAACTCCGGGTCCCTTCCACCTGATGAGCTCTTCCAACAAATCTCAATATTTTTCCACCTCTCAGCCAGTGCCAAGTTCCTTCAAAACTGGGCCCCAGAATTACTCAGCCAAGTCCGTCCATTCACCTCAAATGGTTTCTAACAAGTTTGGCTCACAATTAAATCCTAATGTAGGAGATGCTTTTCGCAACACCTATGACAAAAGCTCCAGTGTGATCCAGAGTGTGCTTAAGTTTCAAGGAGGGAAACCAAGTCAGAATTTGAATAGTGCCCCTCAAAGTTAATATTGCTGCTGGCAGCCCTAAAATTGCACCCAAACCTCACATTGCCAAATCTAGGTACAGTGACACTGAGAAGGTCCACCAGAGTAACAAATGTTCAGCTTCTAGCACTGGCGGTCAAAAAGGTAGCATGCCCAGTTATAGCATCACTTCGGGAAAAGATCCAATTCGTCTCAATACATCAAACTACCCCATCAAGTCAAATCTTCACAATGACAAAGTCCATCCAGATTATTTCCAGACGTCCAGTAAAAGTACACCGACAGCTTTGGAGAAGCCGCCCTCTGACAAACCCCAATACACTGAAACCAGCTTTGGAAGCAAAAACTTCTCTACTCTCCCAAGGCCATTCTTTTTCCCCAGCCAAGCACCTCAGAGTTATGGGTCTCCTCATGGCAAACGTTTGAATCAGGACAAGCCCTGTGCTGCTGTGCACTCCCAGAACCCTCACTCTTCCTATGCCACATCGGTGTCACCTGACAAACTGTGTTACGATTCCTCAGACTTTACCTTTTCCACCTCGCTCTCTCCCTCTATGTCTCAGCACAATAGCCCCCAAGTAGCCCACAGCTCTCCCTCTGGATCACAGACACCAGCAAACAAACAGCAGCCCCCCTCCTCCTCCTTCTCCTACTCTTATGGTCACCAAGGTCCACCTTACGTGGTCAACTTTACTGGTGACCACTCAGTCACCATGGGCCTGGGAGATTACCCAGGGTCACCTCCCACCAACTATACGTACCGCTGCCTCATGGAGCCTTCGGGCACCCAGGGGAGGCTGGTTCTGGAGCCCTGTGGACCCCAACTCTCACACTCACCGTCTTTCTCTGTGGGGGGCTTTTCAGGGCTTAAAGGCCAGGATGACCACTGCAAGAGGGACATACAACAGCAGTGCCAGCCCATAGACCACCCACCAACATCCCACCATGCGCCCACATCCTCACACTCCTTGAATACCCCGGTCTCAGACCGAAAGCCCAAGAGACTGAGGCTAGTGGTTACTGATGGGCTAGTGGATCTGGACCTCCAGTATACAGACTGATTTATACCTGTCCTTCTCATCTGACTTTGATTCAGCTTGTAATATATCAACATTATTGTATAGAATTGTTCATGAGGAGCATATCTCTGCCCCAATGTTTTTTAAACAATTTCCACAGTCTACCTATCCTTATGTTTGTTTAATGGTTACTGGTGTTTGTTCGAATTCCCTCTCTTGGATACTATTATGATATGAATGTCTCAGAGAAGGTTTTATTGACATCTGTGGGGATCGAGTAATGCTTATGCTTAACAGTTTTACTTCTATTTATTTTGTGAATAAAACCATCTTCTGTGTAAGTTCAGTGATTTGCAAGTGGAAAATATGTAGTGAATAGATCAGTCAGTCTCCAGAATCCTTTCATAGTCTGTCATAGCAGAGGTTAGCCTCAAGGTGGGCACATTGAACCCTCTAGGACAGCGTTTCCCAAACTCGGTCCTCGGGTCCCCAAGTGGTGCACGTTTTGCTTTTTGCCCTAACACTCCTAACACTACAAAGCTGATTCATATAATCCAAGCTTGATGATGAGTAGATTTTTTGAATCAGCTGTGTAGTGCTAGGGCAAAAACTCAAAACTTGCACCGAGTTTGGGAAACCCTGCTCTAGTAGTGTGTGGAGGCCTTCTTATTGTACTGTAACATAGTTGAATGGATTGTTCTCTAAAATTGACATGTCAGGAAGATAGACCTACACAAACCGTTTGTGCATTTCAGAACATGATTACTTTTACATAAAACGTGTTTTAAAGTTAAAGTTCTAAAACAAGCAAAGTGTGCCTCTAACATGTTTCTGTGATTTTTGGTTAGTAGGGCTTTGATTTGTCGGTTTAAGTACTGTCTACGAGCTCTAAAATGTACAGTTTTATTGGGTCTGCATTCTGTTTCACTAAGGACATAGACGTGCAAGTGTGTGTAGGAGTGAGGAGGAATTTTAGGTACCATGCTTTTCTGTACATGGTATGTTTGTGCACTGCCTTGACAATTTGAGTTAAGATTAGCAGTCAATGGTGCATTAAGAAATGCACAGTGTATGAACAGTGTGTACTGTAGAATGAGTTCCAGGCCTGTAAATTCCAGGACAACTCCACTGGGGGGGGTGGCGTGCATGACATTAACTGCAGCTCTGCAGCTGCTGTCCAGAGCTCCCACAGTATACGAGGGAGGGAGACCGGGTGGGTGGGAGACTGACTGCAATGTTTTCTGCAGAATGAGGTTTTCTTTGGTCTTGTGTAGATCAAGGGGTAGATGATACTGTATTAGTGGGGCAACTTGGACTAAGTGGGTACATTTTGTTCCCTCCCTTCCTTCTTTACCCTCTGCATCCACACTGAGAATACTTGGTGGTTATGGCATTATTTATGAAGCAACTTCAAAGCAATCTGTTGTGAATTAGAGCAAGGGCTGTGACTTGTTACTTGATAATCTTGCTTTTAGTCTTGTCTCGCTCATTACTTAATTGGATCACACTGGTTAGGCTAGTAGTAGATGGTGATCACAGTGAAATGTGTAGTCAGCCACGTGGTTGCATGTATTATTTTTACATCCGTGAATGAGATTCGTTGCTCTTTCTTACACATTTGTAATGTCATTTGAGCATTCCACTTTCCTCATCTAGACATTGTTCCAGTAGCAATCCAACAGAGGTACTCGATAGGACTACATAATCTTATATAAATACCATGAAGTAGTAATGTCTGTGTCTATGTGTATTATTATTATTATTATTATTATTATTATTGAAAATGGTGCTTTATTGTAATTTAATATTTTACACATAATATTGATTGTTTGAGATATGAAAGGTTTGTTTATATTACATGATAGAACATATTGTTTATTTACTTTTTAAACAAATCTAACATTTCATTTATGGTTCCCCGACGTCTCCCCTGGACCAAGATTTAGAGTTGATTCAGGTGGTGATATATAATCAGCCTTTTGAAGAGGTAAACATTCTAATGGTCTGCTGTAGAATTGTAAAATGTAAATCATTAAAGAAAAATGCATTCTTTTTTTGAATTAAGCTTTGGACGTGTCTTTTCACAATTTATTCATGGTATGACATTTATTTATTGGTTCAATATACCCCCTTGTGTAGTGTCGTGTGAAAGTGTATTATGAAACATGATCCATTTATAGATTTGTGGATCTGAAGCATGCTATGTTGAACTTGTAATGGGAGCTTACAGTGCCTAGCTATTTAATCATTTTGCTTAATTAAATACAGTAATTATATTATTCGACTGAATTTATGTTTGGTTGCAACCATCATTGTAGTCCACAGAAACTGCTGTAAACTCTATATTGACATATTTGTTCATTCAGCCATTTAATGTTATGCTGTAGTTTATGAAAATACCAAACTTCTAACAGTGCATACATTTAGGGGTGGAAAAACATTGTGCTGGTTTGATTGAAAGCTTCCTTCAGGCAACTACTTCCTTATTTACTCAACATATTTACACAAGCTTTCATATTTCTTTCTAGACTGGATGTTTCCCCTCCAGTCTGTAATGTCTTGCTCTCCATCCATACAGTATGTGACTGTCATTTACGTCTTGTCACTAAGCCTCCTGTCTGTTTCCTATCTTCTCCATAACTCCGTTTTCAGTCTTGTTTCTAGCCTCTTCTCTAAGTGCAGCAACATGCACATCCCATGGCCCTGTTTAGTGCTTCAGATCCTGTGACCCACTTTGCTTGTCTCAGTGGAAAGTGAGGGGTTAAATGTGATGCCAAGTGGAACAGCTTTTCCATAATGAGGACAGGCAGAGCAGGCAGGCAGCATAGAGGGATAGACAGAGAGGCGATCTGAGTGTGCTAAGAGACCAGATCCTTTGAGGTGTTGCACCAACCGCTGAATGATCCTACAGCCCTTAGCATCAATGCTAGTACCTGCTGACACCTACATGTACATTAAATCAGTGATATGAATGCTATTAAATTGCACCAAGGTACTAATCCACACCATGCTTCATCAGCTTCATCTACACATAGCCTAGTGAATACATGTGCAAAATAGGCCATACACTGTGTAGGATTCCCTTATTGGCTCAGGGAACCGAAAACTAGCCATCTTTAACAACGGTGATTTTCCTCTTTCAATTATTCCATAATGCCTCCACTCCTCACCCACTCTTCCTCCTGTGCTTCTGTACTTCACAATTCCATTAAACTCTTAAATATACACTACATGACCAAAAGTATGTGGACACCTGCTCGTCGAACATCTCATTACAAAATCATGGGCATTAATATGGAGTTGGTCCCCGCTTTGCTGCTATGACAGCCTCCACTCTTCTGGGAACGCTTTCCACTAGATGTTGGAACATTGCTACGGTGACTTGCTTCCATTCAACCACAAGAGCATTAGTGAGGTCGGGCACTGATGTTGGGCGATTTGGCCTGGCTCGCAGTCGGCGTTCCAATTCATCCCAAAGGTGTTCGATGGGGTTGAGGTAAGGGCTCTGTGCAGGCCTGTCAAATTCTTCCACACCGAACTCGACAAACCATTTCTGTATGGACCTCGCTTTGTTCACGGGGGCATTGTCATGCTGAAACAGGAAATGGCCTTCCTGAAACTGTTGCCACAAAGTTGGAAGCACAGAATCGTCTAGAATGTCATTGTATGCTGTAGCGTTAACGTTTCCCTTCACTGGAACCAAGGGGCCTAGCCCGAACCATGAAAAACAGCCCCAGACCATTATTCCTCCTCCACCAAACTTTACAGTTGGCACTATGCATTGGGGCAGGTAGCGTTCTCCTGGTATCTGCCAAACCCAGTTTAGTCCATCGGACTGCCAGATGGTGAAGCATGATTCATCACTCCAGAGAACGCGCTTCCACTCCTCCAGAGTTCAATGGCGGCGAGCTTTACACCACTCCAGCCGACGCTTGGCATTGCACATGGTGATCTTAGGCTTGTGTGTGGCTGCTCAGCCATGGAAACCCATTTCATGAAGCTCCCGACGAACAGTTCTTGTGCTGATGTTGCTTCCAGAGGCAGTTTGGAACTCAGTAGTGAGTGTTGCAACCGAGGACAGATTATCTTTACGAGCTACGCGCTTCAGCACTATCACTTCGTGGCTGAGCCGTTTTGCTCCTAGACGTTTCCACTTCACAATAACAGCACACAGTTGACCGGGTTAGCTCTAGCAGGGCAGAAATTTGAAAGATGGCATCCTATGACGATGCCACGTTGGAAGTCACTGAGCTCTTCAGTAAGGCCATTCTACTGCCAATGTTTGTCTATGGAGATTGCATGGCGGTGTGCTCAATTTTATACACCTGTCAGCAACGGGTGTGGCTGAAATAGCCGAATCCACTAATTTGAAGGGGTGTCCACATACTTTTTTATATATATTGTATGTACAGTTGAAGTCGGACGTTTACATACACTTAGGTTAACAAACTATAGTTTTGGCAAGTCGGTTAGGTCATCTACTTTGTGCATGACACAAGTAATTTTCCCAACAATTGTTTACAGACAGATTATTTCACTTATAATTCACTGTATCACAATTCCAGTGGGTCAGAAGTTTACATACACTAAATTGACTGTGCCTTCAAACAGCTTGGAAAATTCCAGAAAATGATGTCATGGCTTTAGAAGCTTCTGATAGGCTAATTGACATCATTTGAGTCAATTGGAGGTGTACCTGTGGATGTATTTCAAGGCCTACCTTCAAACTCAGTGCCTCTTTGCTTGACATCATGGGAAAATCAAAAGAAATCAGCCAAGAAAGGAATTGTAGACCTCCACAAGTCTGGTTCATCCTTGGGAGCAATTTCCAAATGCCTGAAGGTACCACGTTACATTACATTACATTACATTAGTCATTTAGCAGACGCTCTTATCCAGAGCGACTTACAGGAGCAATTAGGGTTAAGTGCCTTGCTCAAGGGCACATCGACAGATTTTTCACCTTGTCGGCTCGGGGATTAGAACCAGCAACCTTTCGGTTACTGGTACAACGCTCTTACCCACTAAGCTACCTGCCGCCC